TGCTATCTAAAACACGGACCTGCGTGGTAAACAATTTATTAAGTATCAACTCAATAAAAAATATTATAATTTAGCTTAGAAACTTACGTAATCTCTCTCGTTCATCCCACTAGGGATGTAACTATCTGTCGGTGGGCGTGGCATGTGTCCAGCTAAAGGCTGTGGGTCACGCGTGATCCATCTACGTGTGATACCCCAATACCAACGCATATACGCGGTATAGTCAACAGCTGTGGGTCTCGTATCCTGTATGCAATCCCACCTGTGAACCCACCTGTCTATGTACGCCGCACGGACTACGACCCAGTCAGTCCGGTGCGATGTAGGGTTCCGCCGACGATTGATCTGCTCAACAGGATCTGGAATATGTTGAGAGAGGGTAAACTGCTGTAGCACACGGTCCGGGACATGCATCTCTACGATCTCCCAACAGATCAATGGAACTCTGGCTCTCCACAAGTCGGGACTATCTCGGCAGATAGGTGCAAGAGAATGCATATCGAGCTCCGGCGGTGTATAGGGTCTCCACTTGAACTGAAATAAAATAAAAAATTTATCAGTATCATACAGAAAAACTATAATATTCATACTTCTTGAGTTTTATATTTACATGTTCGTGTTGGAGGCCATCAAGCTCATTTCGGTAAAACTGACGGTGACGCATCGCTGATCTGTACTGAGCGTATCGCACGTTATACCTATATGCAGAATAGTGAATATATAAGTACAAATATTCAGGTTACGAATGAAATATGTGTGTGTACAATTATACCTGTATGCCAACGGATACTGCCCCTCTAAGTCACAGTGCATAAGTAAAGTGGGTCGTCCAATATGAATGCGCTCCCATGACCAAATCTGTATCAACGTACAGCATCCCTTGAATTCTTTATTCTGCATCAGAGATACTCTACTCAATTCTCGATACAAATATGCCAACACCACACTGCCCCATGATAGTGCGCCGCATACAGCGAAATCCTCCAGCAGTGGCAGCCATCGTGCATGTACGAGAGTCTTGCTCGCATCAGGAAATAGTACGCACCCTATCATGTGCAATATGTATGCACAAGCATGAAACTGGAGCGTCTCAATAGAGGCATCCTCTGGTATATCGCTCTGAAATGTCTGACGAAGCCACGATAGCTTCATTGCACCACTCCTTAAGTCGGGAACCTGACCAAGAAGCCTAGCACATACCTCCGGCCAACTATGATCATCGGTACCCGTAACTGCTGGTCCATCGACTACCTGTATGCCAATGGACACCTATTTTTGTTGTGACCCGGTTGATCACATCTACTACACTTATTTCTCCTCCTAGCTCCTTCACGTCCGTCATCCATACTATTTCTAATACGCACGGAACGAGGGCGCCCCGCCGATCTTTTATACAGTGGAGGTAATATCCGTGGCCCATCTTGTGTCCAATGTCGACTATCGTATGGTGGACGAAAACACTCTTTGTATGTTTGTTGATAGTTGTATGCAGAATACCAAGCCGCGACAAATTCATAATGTGAAATGCGAGCACCACCCTGTAGGTCAGAGCAAGCTGCTACAACATGTGAACAAGAAATCCATTGTAGTTGCGGTACATTGCAAGTGCACGTACAAGTGTGATCCACCAACATATTGACTTTGTAAGAGCGACTTTCTCTATGGGTTATTCCCTCGAGCACCTCCCATTCATTAAAACTGTATCGTACGACCTGAAAGGACCGAGCTTGTACAATCCGAGCCGCTAGCATTTCATCAACCTTCGGTGTTAGCTCTGAGCGGATATTTTTACCAAGTTCTCGACGTCGAAGAAAGAATTTATTAAGCCTGTAAAAAGTTTTAGCAACTAGTGCCTATATTGGCATGCCGCGTGCTCCCTTGAGCACACCATTGAAGCTCTCAGACACGTTCGTAGTCATCATACAGAACCGTTTGCCGCCATCCTCACATAAAGCCCACTTATCAACATTGTTTGGACCCAAACTAGTTTCGATCCAATCATGTGCAGCTCATGAAATGAACTTAATCCTCTCTCGTATTTGTTCATAAACATATTTTTCTGTTGCACAACCGGCTTGCCACTCTCGTATTTGTTCATAAACATATTTTTCTGTTGCACAACCGGCTTGCCAAAGTAAGTCTTGAACCTGTGCGTTTCCATACTTCTTCTTGAAGTTGTCTCTAATATGTCGCAAGCAATAGCGATGTGCATGTACCTGTGCGTTTCCATACTTCTTCTTGAAGTTGTCTCTAATATGTCGCAAGCAATAGCGATGTGCATGTAGTGGCGGGAAATATCATTGGAGTGCTCTTGGAATTCCTTTCATCCTATCGGATATGAATGTAATCGGCCGTGTCCCCACACTAGGGATATGATATCTAATGCATGCAAAAAACCAAGCCTAATTCTCTGTGTTTTTAACATCAACCACTGCGAATGCTAAAGGAAACAACCCGCCATCCGCGTCAACTCCAGTTGCAACAAGCAAAACACCTTTGTATTTACCATATAAGTGAGTTCCATCAATGCTAAGAAGAGGACGGCAATATCGAAACCCCTCAATACAGGACCCAAATGCCCAAAATACACCGGTGAACCGCCGTTCTCCGCCATCAACGGGGTCCGAAGATACTTCGTAGACAGTCCTCGGATTTTCTCTTTTGAGTGCTTCAAGATAATGAGGTAAGATCTCATACGAATTATCCCAATCCCCAAATATTTTTATCATCGCCTTCCTCCTAGCATTCCAACACTTGTGATATGATACATCCAAGTTGGTGACTTTATGCACTAAAAGACGGATATCTTTCGGTCTTAGATCAAGATCCTCCCTCAGATGCGGTAAAATCAATAGATATATAAAAGAAGATGACGCATTCTTGTTATTCATCTCTAATCGAGGATTGCTACAAGTGTGGAGTCCATTGTATGTCGTGATTTTGAATTGCCCACCTACTCTTACACCCGAGCGTGAATTAAGCTTCCACGGACACCTCGCATTGCCGTCGTGGTGTCCACTATTATCTTCGACATCGTCATCTTTGCGATAGAAACAAACCACATTATAGCTTGTAGTATTATTTTTGGTTGGCCTGAACTTCACATTTTTTACAATGGAATACGTGCGAATAGCATGGATCAATTTCTCCTTACTCTCGTAAAGATCTCCCTTCATGAATGAGAAGTCCTCGGCCTGTGTATCAACACCGCTATTAGTGCCAATAGGAACACTTTCCATCGCGGAGTTATCAATCCATTCATCTCCTTGAAGTTCATCAGGCGGCGGATCCTCTAAGACGACATACTCATTATTAACATAACATCCGTCGATGTGTTGGTTTTCCCCGTCATCACGATCTATCAAGGTCATGCTATTAATTTGTAATCCCTCCTCTTCATCATCATTCTCGGAATCGACACTTGTATTATCTTCTTGAATTCTCGTGTTAGAATCGAAAGCATTCGAAGTGCCCACGAATGAAGGACCGCTCATGTATTGTGATTGTGTCCAACATTCATCTTGTTGAGGAGATAAAAAAAGCCTACGGAATCAACTTCAGGGTCTCCAACATGCGGAAATACATTCCTTCGTAATTCAACGATTTGCCCAAATCTCTCTGATGTTTTTTAATGAACAATTCGACCGAACGCTTCTCGTCATGTAAGACATGAATGAGACCCATATTGTAGTCACTTGATATTTGAATGCCACTTGTTCTGTTTCCCACAACAGGATAATTGCAAACCACACTGAGGTGATACTCACGTGAGTTAGTTAATGTAAGTTTGTGTAATTCATTAACCAACTCATCGAAAGTACACGATTTTGTTATGAACAACGGTCTCGTCGTGCTTCCTTCGTAAACGGGCATATTATTTTCGAGGTAATTAATCTTCCCATCATAAGAACAGAGAATTACAATTCGATCGTTCATCGTTACCTCTGAAGAGTGAAAAATTCAAGATCAATATTACACGAAAAGCCAAATAAATATTGATTGTTACTAATTTTTACATTTAGGTAGTAACTCTAATTTCCACATTAATTGATAATTTCACCTCTAAATACACAAAATTATTTAATACATCTTCACAAAATTCATAAATAATTCACAATTAAATTCTAAAATCTAATTTATGTCTTACATATGTAAAATATAATTTTTCTTCACAAAATCTAAATAATTCACAATTAAATTCTAAACTCTAAATACACTAATTTTCGAAATTATTGATAATTTCCCCTCCAATTTCACAAAATTATTGATAATTTCCACACTAATTCTTCACAAATTTCACAAAATTATTGATAATTTTTCCTCTAATTTTCACATTTATTGATAATTTCCCCTCTAATTTTCACATTTAGTGATAATTTTCCCTCTAATTTTCACATTTCTTCACAAAATTCGTAAATAATTCACAATTAAATTCTAAATCCCAGAGATCGCTTCTCTAGGGATATTTGACTGTAACTCCACGGGAGTTGAACTCCCGTGGAGTTTTAAGAAGAAATTAAACTTCACGGGAGTTCAACTCTCGTGAAGTTTAATTTCTCGATAAACTTCACGGGAGTTGAACTCCCGTGATGTTTCGGAATTTTTTTTACAAAAACCGACCTGTTTTCAGCGCTGGGCTGAAAACATGTCGGTTTTTGTAATTATTTTCAAAAGTGGTCGGTTTTCGCAAATAAAAACCGAAAAAAGATTGGTTTTGAAAATTTGTCCGTCCCTCTAATAATTGAAATTCCAATTAAAGTCCCAATCTACAAACTCGGCCTAACCTATGACTGCAGTATTATAATCATAAGAATTATGAGACCCAGTAACGATTTCAGTGATCCAGCGGACTAACTTGAGAGAATTTAGAACAATTAGAGGGCCAAATAGCAATTTCAATGATTCGAAGGACTACTTTAAAAATACCAAAGATTCCCACAATCTTGTAAAAGCCACACATGCTCTCTGCCAGCCATCAAAAAAGAAAAAAACGCCATTAATCAATGATCCTACTCCTACATAGTATATTTGAACAAAACGCAATGCACAATTCTCTCAAAACCCAACGCCTATAATCTCTCCTCCTTCCCCTCAATCAATCAAATACCCCAAAAAGAAAAAAAAACCCAAAAAATTAATAAAGGAAGGTAGAGAGAGAAAGAAGAAGGATTATCCCCATTCAACTGAGAAATGGGTAGAATGGGTCTAATCCTTTGGGACTTCGCCCTCTCCTTCATGTGGGCTTGGGCTGGGTCTCTCGCCAAGCTCTTCGTCTACTCCTTCTTGGATTGGGGGAAAACCCCTGAAGCCGAGGCCTTGAATTTATCTCTCTCTGTTGTCTACATGTATTTTTTTGCTTGGCTGGGCAATTTCTCACGGGGGGGAGCTTACAACCCTCTGGGTATTTTATCTAATGCTTTCATGGGTGGCCTTGATGGGTTTCTGTTCACGGTTTTTGGGAGGATTCCTGCTCAGGTGAGGACCAATTTTAATTGGGTTTGTAGAATTTTGGTTGTTAATCGTTTGTTTGGGTGGTATCTGAGATGGGTTTTTGTTAAATCGTTAGCTTGGGTGGTATCAAAATTTTATTCCACAGTGTGAAAACAAACAAGCACATTAATAAAAGTCTTATGTGCAAGAATATTTCAATATAGATGATGTACCAGTATCCGACGTTTACGTTATCTAATACTTGGATGCTTGAATACTTGATGCATGCTCTTTGTGTACTCCTGACGCATCTACTAATTTATAATGCATTTCATAGATATATCCAAGGCTAAGTTAAAAGTCTAGGGCATTTTCATTTCAACTGTAGACTCACTACATAATTGGGGGGCTTTTCTAAGTCAAAACTGCGTTTTTATAATAGCTATTGATTTATAAAACTTGCACGTGTTATATTACTTAAGTTATTGTGTTTCTTTAACTATTATAGGCTTCAAACTTTATGTTATAGATGAGTAATGTTAACATGCAGACATAATTTTACTATTACCAATTCACTTCATGGATTCTCAGAATGTTACACACCCACATATCAATAGTCCATATCCATACCCCTAAATTTGCAAACTAGGTAGTCTGCCGAAATAGCATCCAATAATGCATACTTCAATCAAAGGTGTTTGTTTTCTTTGGCTATTTCTTTTTTCATATTGTCCTCAAAATGTATTTGTTTTTCAAGTTGAGTTTGGTTTGCATTTGAATACTTATATTGGGGCTGGTTTTCTGACTGATTTTGGACTTTGGTTTCGACTGTATTCCTTTGAAAATTGAAAAGAGCAACTAGCACTAGCTTCTTTTGAATAATTTCATTCTACTTTGTAACACTAGGATTACAGTTCATCTAAATATAAAAATTCATGAGTTAGCTTAAATTGTATATTTGTATAAGGTACTTTCGATCATTATATATCGTTGCTACTGCTTGTGTGACCATTGATATTTGCAAGGCTGTAATGGGGGAGAAACACGTTATCACTGAAGAATTTCTTGAAAGAAACTAGAGGACAGGAAGCCCTTTGCCCCTCGTTAGCTTGTTATATTTCCATGATAATTCATTTATACTTATCTTCTCTGAATATGTAGTCATTGATCCGGAAAAGTCAGGTTTTCTGATGCACCAATTCAATTGTCTGGTGTTAGATGTTAAAATGCCTTAGTTATGCAAGTGAACACAACTTGCATATGCGACTACAATTCTTATATTTTCATTCGTTTCATGTCACTACATTCATGTGTTAATTTTAGTGGGCTATTTAATTGTTTACTTATTCTGGCTTTATTAAACCATAGCTTTATGATATTTTCTTTTTTGTTTCTCTAGTATCTGAATAAGAAAAAGAACATTGTCAAAAGCTAAAACTTAGTATTTTCCATGGTTCAAGAAAACGACGAGAAAATCATGGTTGCCATTTGTTTGATTGACTTGACCTACTTGTTCTTTTCAGATAGCTGGATCAATTATTGGTGTTAGATTAATTAAAAAAACTTTTCCTCAAGTAGGACATGGATCTCGTTTGAATGTTGATATTCATCATGGAGCGATGATAGAAGGACTGCTCACATTCATAATAGTGATAGTATCATTGGGACTAAAGAAGAAGGATCCTAGAAGTTTCTTCATGAAAACATGGATTGCAACCATCTCCAAGATAAGCCTTCGCATTCTCGGTTCTGATTTGACTGGAGGAATAATGAATCCTGCCTCTGTAAGTACTCTGTTGCTTTTCCAAATGCATGCTACTGATATACATGGTTGTTTAAACAATTTAAAACTTTTGATTTGAAGTTCAACATAGGAACATCATAGAGGGTATTACATCACTTTGATTGCTCTAAATGCATGCATGATATTGCATCACTTTTGATGATTCAGTCGAAAATTCTAATAGTTTGAAAGTTAAACTCAGACAATGATTGAGCTCTTCAAAAACTGAACTCAACTTCAGGTGTCCTAGAAAGTAGAGTTGCTGCCAAATATTCCCTCCACCTAAATTCTTGTTCACAAACCTGTTTTTGAACAAATCGAGATGAGATGGCACCAGATAATGAAGTAGTTGTCAAAATCATTGCCCAGTGAAAATCCTGAATGATGTCAAATGGCAACTGAGAAAAATGGATATAGGAAATTGGAAACGGGATTCTTTCAAAGGAAAGAGGAAGTGCAATATACGCAAACGAAACTTAGGTTCTCAGTTTTGGTTAATACCCATTAAGAAAATAAAAACATAAGCATTGATTTTCTTGTTAAATGCTTTATGGATTTCTCTAACCTAGGCCCCTTAAGGGCACTTACTGAGGAGAATGTAATGCTCCTAATTTCCTGCACTAATATAGAAATTGTCTCACCTTCGATCACCTAATAAACTTATTATTCTTTGATCTTTGAACAAAAAGTATAAGGACTCTAGCATTACCAAGTAATTACCTTCTATAAGATTCTTCTCTTAGGGGGGGTTAGTCACCTAGAACTTTTTAAGTAGAACTGGGATAATTGATAAAGTGGGATAATATTTTGACACTGGAATAATTTAGTGGAACAATGATGTGTAATTCTTAAAGTGGGATAATTTGGTAGGATAATTTGGTGGGATAATGATGGATAATATTACGAAGTTGCATAATTTGATAGGATAATTTGGTGGGGGTAATGGTGGGTATAAATTACTATTGTTAATAATTGTATATTAAAAATAATATAATATTGATAAGCAAATTCTAGTAATAACTATAAAATATAATGCAATAAAGCATCACTATTCATCTCAAATAATAAAATAATTTACAAATAAATAAAAATCTAAATCCCTAGAGTGACTCGACTTCCATCATCCCACATGGCTTCTATCATCCCACATGGCATCTGCCATAGAATTTCTCTAAAAGCTCCTACAGGTGCTCGTTGAGTTTGTAACTCGTCTTCTTTATCGGAGTCATCGTCCGCATCAGCAACATTTCATGGAGCTTCTAGTGGAGGATCATAAATATCGAAGTTCAAATCTCATAACATCATAAAGAAAGAAAAATAAGCATTTTCAGCCATTAACCCTTTGGACCAATCTCATCATAATCGCTGAAACCAAATCAGAAAATAAATGAAATGTACATAGGAATCATCCATGGCCGCTAAACAGATGATCGACAGATGAACTATAAATATCCCAATCAATTTACTGAGCCGATTTAATAATAATAGATATCACCATTAACCATTCAACATCTAATCATCAATGTGATCGCAAAGTTGCTTTCTAACTTATAAAAAAAACATAAATAGCCCGCATATCTTTAGCACTAACCCACCAACACTATATTCTTAACCTAAACCACTGTTGTGGAGAGAAAACTTAGATCAAACAAATAATAATAAAGTAATTTAACGTCAAAAAGCTATCAATAAAGTAATACATCTTGAAGATAATAATAAAAGATCTAATCATCACAAAAACAAAGTAAAGACAGAAAAATGAACGGATGATTGACTTCATGGCAGAGAAATTTTCTAGGCGGAGAAACTAACCAAGAGGGAGGGAGGCGACGTTTTACTTTTTTTCCCAATTGTATTCTTTCCAATGTGTGGGATAATTTGAGAGAGGAGAACTTATGGTTATATATATAGGTAGTATAATTTGTGGGATAATTATGACCAATTATCCCAATTCTAATTCTAGTAGAATTCTACTTGACTAACGCACCAAAAAAATAATACAGTTCTAGTTCTACAAAAGTTCTACTTGACTAACACTATAAAAAAATATCTCATTTCCTAGTTCTATGTGACTAACACCTTAAAAATTTATCCCATAAATTATCCCAGTTCTAGTTTTAAGTTCTAGATGACTAACCCCCCCTTAGCAGTAGGGGAAAGAAAAAATCACAGCCACTACTATCGCAAGCATCCACATATATCTTCCTTTCTTGCCACGCTGCCGGATTTGAAAGTGGTAACCATTTTCACCAAAGATTTTTCCATATATCACGAGCAATGTTTTAAAAATTGACCAATTTTATCAATATATCGCCTATATGTAAGGTTTTCTGGTTTTGACCACTGTCTGTACGATTTCTGGACAATTAAATAAGTTACCATTTTGCATTGATTTCCTCCAATGTATCGGAGAAAATCCAATTAATAGACAACTTTTTATAGGGGTCTAAATCAGATGATTTTGAAGAAAAAAACCCCAACTATTGGTTGGGTTTTGGGTCTCAAAACCCTTATTTTCACACCTAAAATCCGATACGTCCAACACTAATTTCTCTCCATCTCATTCCCTCTCTCCTCAAATTTAATCGCTCGATAACCCTGAGTCCTCTCTCAAAGACGTTTTGGTATGTTTACATTTTATTAAGTGTGTTTAGATTCTATTTTAGGGCATTATATTATATATGCTCACAATCAAATATGACACTTTGATTTTTACTATTTATCCCCGATGCATCCTGATAACTACAATTCAATATGAATTTTGGTCATCGGATATATTTCTAATGACCGATATTTAAACCTTGGTCACAAGCTTCTAAATATAGGTTTTTTGATGACACAACATGATATGAAGGACTCAAAGAGACTTCTAATGTTAGATTTAAAATAAGGTTAATTTTTTCAGAGAAAAAGTCAAAATGAGACAATAGGTAATTGAAAGTGATGATGGAAGATTTTTTATATTTAAATAGAACAAATGCTCCTTATTAGGTACTCTTAGAAAACTTGTATGAAAAGCTTTTAGTGCACTGACGCTTTTTCTTAATGCTACATAACATAGGACCGGAGTGTCACAATTGTCAATTCTATGAAGCACACTAGTGTTACATAGACTATTCACTGATACATAAGGACAATTGTAAATGACTTGGACGATGATTTATGATTATTGTCATTATGGCCCGTAAAACTAGCTAATGTTGAAGATGATATACTTAATTGCTATTGGATTGAAATGAACAAAAATGATCAAAAATTGTCAGTTATAGTTAATAAAAATCACAAATTTTACAATACACTTATAAACATACTTAATTTCCATTAGGTTGAAATGGAACAAAAATGGACACAAATTGTGGGTTATATCCAAATTTTGAATTTTAAAGTACACATGCTTAATTTCCATTAGGTTGAAAAGAGCAAAAAGCATGGCTTGTAGCCATGAAGTTGGGATTTTGAATTACATATATTTAATCCTTATTGGGTCAAAACAAACGACATGGACAAACATAGGCTTAAGCCCATGAAAATTATGAATTTTGACGTACGCATACTTAATTGTCTTGCGTAAAAAACAAAAATGGATAAAAATTATGGGCTATAGCCAATTAAATGACGAAAGTTGAAGGATGCACTCTTGATCTTATTTGTTCAAAAAAACAAAAAAGGACAGAAACCGTAGTCCATTGATTAGCTCATGAAAATCATGAATTCGGAATTACCCATACTTAATTGTCATATGGCCGAAATGAATGAAAATAGACAAATATTGTAGTTTTTAGCCAACAAAAATTGTGAATTATGAAGTACACATACTTAATTGTCATTTAGTCATAAAGAAACAAAATATCATTAGTGTGAATTTTGTAGTATACGTAATTAATTGCCATTGGGTCGGAATGAATGAAAATAGACAAAAAAGTGAAGATTGCAAATTTTGAAGAATGCACACTTGATTGTCTTAGGTTCAAAATAAATGAAAATAGACAAAAATTATAGGTTGTGGTCCACGAAAATGACAAAGTTTTAAGCATGTGTACTTAATTGCCATAGAATCGAAAAGAATGAAAAATGAAAAATGAACAAAAATAGTGGATTAGAGCCCATAAAAAATTATGGATTTTGCAATACACATGTTTAATTATCATTGTATCGAAACAAACGAATGTAGACAAAATTTATAGGTTATAACTTATGTTACCCAGGTAATTCTATCATGAAGCCATACCTGTACCCGACATGTAGCGAACACATTTGCGTACCTAAACTTCATGGACACTCCTTGGATGTATGCATACATTTAGTCAGATATTTACTTCAATATTTGAAAAGACTTTTTTGGAACTCGCTTTGAAACTCGTTTCACAACTTATTGAAGGGTAAACGCTTCGAAACTCAAGAGTGAAGCTATTTATCCCTCGAAGCTTACACCTCATCGCTTAAAGCATAATTGAAGTGTGCACTTTGCGCTTCATAAAGTGCTTTTATTTTGAAGCACACGCTTAAGACTAGACAGTAGGACATAAAATAATCTTTGACTAACATTAAAATGCTCCTATATATTTTCAATATGACTATGTGAGTGTAAATAAAATATACATGTTATGCATGTAGCTGAGTTTATTATGATTCAATTTTATACTTCACATGTTTAATTCTTATTTACTTATCAGGACATGAATGATATATTTGTAATTGTTACGCCACTATATATTATATATTCATAATTTTTACCAATTTAAAATTAAAATATTTAAACTTGACTAACATTAAAATACCCCTATATATTTTCAATATGACTATGTAAGTGTAAATAAAATATATATGTTATGCATGTAGCTTAGTTTATTATGATTCATTTCTATACTTCACATGTTTAGTTCTTATTTACTAATCAGGACATGAATGTATATATTTGTAATTGTTAACCCACTATATGTTATATGTTCATAATTTTTACCAATTTAAAATTAAAATATTTAAACTCATGAAGCTTACGCT